CGGTGGTCTTAACATTTCTTTGAGTTGCCGTATCACGCCCTTATCTAAGTGATGAATCCTTCCCTTGGACATTCGATAGATCATTCTATAGATTTGACACTTAAATAAAGTGGGAACACATTTCAACCAAAAACAAAAAGCAAGAAAGCCAAAAGAAGTGCATACATAATATTTTTTTCCCGAGTGCACGAGACTAAGATGCACTTTAAAAATTACCTCAATCCCTCATTATTTAATTTATTGATAAAATTATTATAATTTAAATTTAAATATTATATTTACTAAAAGTAAGTATATGTCATTTTGCAAAATAAATTTATAGTTTAAAATTTAAGATCAATACTTAAAAATTTTAATTTTTGAAAATAAATTAAACTAAAGTTAGGATGTACTTTTAAAATTATTAATAAGAGATTAATTTTAAAACACATAAAAATTAATCTATAAACGTCTTAATCATACATTTAAAAAAAATTAAGGTAATTCAATCGTGAAATAAGTACACAAGTAGTATTCCATATAATGTCATGAAATTATTATTTTATCTAAATTAATATATAAAGATTTATACAAATAAAATATAAAAAAAGTAATTATTTAGTCACTAAACATTATATACTATTTTTATTTTTGCTAACTTTTGCAACGCAGTCAAACATATAGTATTTAAAAACGACCTCACCCCCTTCAAAGGATAAAGCTGTGCCGTAGGGGAAACGCTGAATGTTGACGTACGTACATTGGGGTGCGATTTTTCAAAGTAACGTTGTCTTCATCTAGAACTCGCAGACTATAATTGTAAAGCAATTGCCAAAAAAAAAAAAGAAAAAAGGGAATTGTAAACGCCAAAACTATTACATAAGCTCTCAAACTTATCCCATTTTAACATATAAGCCCCTCAACTAAAAAAACAAGTAAATAAGTCCTTGAACTGCAAAATTGCAGCAAATTAGCCCTTTTGAGAAACAGGACATGCTTGGTTTAAAACAATAATTTGGTTAAGAGACATGACAACCTGGGGTTAAAACAAAAAAAGGCTAATTGGTTGGGTACCTCCTTTGATCCATCGAGTGTACATAAAGTCTGTGAATAGCTCATTATTAAAAAATTGTCGTTAGTATGTTGTCAATGGAGTCTGCAGTGAATCGAAAGGATCTTGGCAATTTGGTTTTAATTTCAACTTGGTCTTGGTCATGCAATAAGGGCATAATTGTTTGCTATTTTGAAAGGACTATAACTATCTTGGAATAGGAACTACAACCAAGTGGTGATTGAAATAGATTCCCTACTAGTAGTTCCAAAGATTGAACAAGGACCTACTCAATTTGGCCCATATAGAGGGGTGGGCATGGTTTGGTTTTGGTTACAATTAAAATCGAACTGTGGTTAATTAAAATTTTGGGTTTTAAATTTTAGTAATCAATAACCAAACTAAAAAAAAAAAATGAGTTTTATCAATTTCAATTACATTTTTTGACAGTAACTATTAAGATCAGTTTTGGTTTTAATCAAAAAATTATTTTTATATTTTTAGTTTTTTTTTTTGAATTTTTGAATTATTATTTTATTAATTTCAATTACTAAAAAACTCAAAATTACTGAAATAAATAAATAATTTGATGAAAAGTGACTAGAAAACCTTAAAAAATCTAAAAACCATTAAAAATTTATATAAAAGACTTGTAGACAAGAGTTTTTTTGTTATACTCATCCTAGTTATCGATTTTTTAATTTTTAGATTTAATAACCAAAACATGAACCATTTAAAATTGGTTTGAATCAGTTTTTAGTCAAAAATAATAATAATAATAATAAAAGCCCAGTCATACCCTACCCATCAATTATGGTTTCATTGGTTTTCAGTTTTTTTTTTCGATTGTGGACTTTCTGACCCACCTCTAATTATTAGATCTAGAAATGCAAAGAGTACTTGCAGAGGAATTGGCATCGTGAAATGCATCATGTTTTTAGGAAGCTAACAATGCCGATGCAATGGCATCAAGATTGTGAAATGGTTGGCATTACTTCTTTTAATTGTCAGATTAATGTCCATTAATGACAGTTATTTGTGATTCTCCACTGATTCCTTTGTATTTGCGCATTATTTCTATTTAATCCAAACCAAAGTTATTGAATTAGCATATTAATTACTATGAAATATTATTTAGTACTAATTAATATCAACGTTAGTTACAGAAACACAACAAAAGAAATAACAGCTACTACAAAGAACTATGCTGCATGTAGTCCGACTGGCTGTGGACTTGAGCTTTAGGAGACTCGTGTTGCAAAGCAATTCAACTCAAGCGTGGCAGAGAGATGAGAAACGGAGGGGACAGTGCTCGTTTCTTGGGAGCTATAATTGCAGAGATCCATGGCCTGGTACAAGAAACTGATAGACTTGTTCTCTCGTATGTAAGAAGGGAAGTGAACATGCTGTCACAGGATTTAGCTAGAAAGGCACCAGATATATAGAAGTGGGAAAGGATTTGGATTGAGGCTGTTTAGGCCTTCAGTCCCCGTTCGTCCTAAATGTTTCTCCTATATTACTTTTGTTGTCAATTTTATTTCATGCATGAAATGAAATTTATTTTTTCATACAAAAAAAAAAAAAACTACATGGGACAAGAAAAAAGGGAGATCACATTTTTCCCTGTCCACCTAATATCATATAATGTAAAGAAGGGGAAAAATAGTACAGATTTGAGCCGTTAAATTTCCTACCCAAAAGAGAATAAAAGCGGAACATAAAGAGAAATTAAAATAGTGATTGCAATTTCACTTGCATTTCAAGTTCTGAATCTCTTTCGTAGTTGTATTAACATCCATTATGCAATTCATTTCCGCTGATTTCTTTTTCTTGAAAACCTTGAACAGAATAATCTTCCCGTCCAACCTGGCATGGCTGCCCAACGGTATGATCCCAGACTCGATATCATCACCCAACTGTGAGTTGCTTGACACCTTACCTGAACTCGCAACGGATGTCACGTTGACCTTTTTTGTAGACCGTGCTCTAGCGCGTGCCTTCACAATGGTAGCCTCGCCGATGAGAGTGCCTACGTAGGAGATGCTGGCTGTGTTGTTCTGGAACTTGAAGTGACCAAAATTTAGTGTTTTTGACGGTAACTTGTGCGTTAAGTTTGATGGTGAAGGAAGGGGAGGTTGCAGAGGCATTGGTGCCGAGACTCTCCACAATGACCGCACCCAATCGGACCTTGGGGTTGCGGATACGCATCACTAGCATAACGAAGAGCACTATGATAGCGGTCTGAGCAATGACTCCAGCAAGTACGTACGCTAAGCACTTTATGTTCTTCCTCCCGCGTGCAGCATCTTGATCATTGTTCGTCATGGTGGAGTTCTTTATTGGATTTGAAAATGTACAGGACCGAAGCATTTGATAACAGTAATGAATGGCCTGGCTATATTTAGATAGTGCATAAAACCAAAAAAAAAAGAAAAGAAAAAAAAAATCAAAACGATGAAGGTTCTACAAATTGATAGCTCTCCCAGAAGAGGTAAATCACACTTAGAAAACAGGGGAAACAGGGGAGATGATGGGGACAAGTTTTGTAGAAGCTGTTGAGATGACTATAATGTAAAGAATGATATATTTTATTTTATTTTTTTCTTATTGGTGAAAAAAAAATAGAGTTTAGTTGTTGAACCGAAACTTTAGATTCAATGGTTCGACTTCAAGCCTTAAGTGTTTGGGTGAGGTGGTCGGAGTTTAGAACTCCACCATCATCTTGAAGTCCACCAAAAAACAGTCTGATGGTCGTGCGCCTCATTTGAGGGGGTGGAATATTCATCTGGTCTGAGAATCAATTACTAACAACTAATTCATACTAATTTCCTAATCATTACCCTTATCAAAAAAAAAATAAATAAATAAAGTTTAGTTGTTATAAAAATTTGAAACCCTTCATTTCAGTTGAGGTTAGGAAGAAAAAAAATTTTGAACCCTTTTTTCACACGAAACTATAATTGGAAAAAAGAAAAATCCCTTCAGTAATGAGACACTACAAGTTAGCAGTAGCACTAATTGATAGAAATTTAACACATTAAAGGATTTTAAGATTCTTCAGTATAAAATGTATAATATGACATAAAAATTAGTGATGTGACACAAAAACTTGCGACATTGCAAGAGGAACCTCAAATATGTTGTGTTTCTATTAGTAGAATAGTATCCTTATTACAATAAAATTTTTCTCAAATGGATACAAAGACATTGCTATTGTGTCCGTGTGTGTTTTAGTAGAGCATTGGACTAATGAAATCTTATTTATTCCTTAATTAAGGAGTTTAGGTGAAATTACCTATACATCAATCCAAGATATGAGTGGATTAAAAGTAGGAACCAGAGACTAGCTTTC